CCAAAGTGCTGGGACGACAGGCATGTGCCAGGGTTTTGAGCCCCACCTGGACTCTGGCAGCAGCAGACGGTTCCCCTGCATAGGACTGCCCTCCACGCCAGAATCTGCCCCTGCCCAGAGGCGGCAAGGCTGCAGCACTTCCTGCTGAATTGGGGCCTGGGGGCAGAAGCCACTTTGTTATTTATACCCAAAGCTCTTTATTGGTGGTGCATTACAAAACACAATGGGGACAGCCCCGACCCACGGAGCCAGAATCCAGAAGGCAGCAGAGGCCACAGACTCTCCATTCTCCACCTGTCCAGTCCCGCACCGCCCCCTCTGGTCACCTCCTCCAGCATCTTATTATTATCTGTTTGACTCCTGATGAAATGTATCAGGCTTCCACTTCTCTGGAAAGTCTCTGCACTGGCCTCTACTGGAGGCTCTGACTGGGCACATCCCTGCCCTCTGTTTTGTTCTGTTTTTCTGGCAGAGAGCACGTGTCTCTCTGTATTGAAAGCTTGCCAACGCGGAATTCGCACGTATTAATTAGTAGGATGGGTCAGGAGCCTAACACAGCTTGATGGAAAACGCATCTGGGTGGGGAATAGAGCAGAGAACCAGAAAGAGGCCACAGTAGGTGGGAGCGGAAGATGGCTGGATGGCTGGAGACTGTGACTCAGTTTCTACGTGTAGGGTGGCTGCAGTCAGTCTTCTGCGCAGTAGCGCCTCCTCCAGCTGTTCAACCTTTGCGCAAAAGTCCCCACCAGGTCACACCGTAGGCCTCTGCCCGGTGTGTCTCCTCTGTCAGGACCCTTCTCTTTTCTTCCCATCTGAATTCTGCCAGTTCTCAAGGCCAAAATGAAGTCCCATCTCAGCGAAAAGTCTTCCATGGCTCCTCCAGTCCTAATGAACTTCCATAATCAAAGAGTGTAACCTTTGATGAGGTGGTCTTCTTGATGAGAACTGCCCAGTCTGTCCAGTCGTTGCTCAAAGAGAAAAGGGGGCCAAGCATGGTGGCTCATACCTGTCATCCCAGCACTTTGGGAGGCCGAGGCAGGAGGACTGCTTAAGCCAGGAGTTTGAGACCAGTCTGGGCAACAGAGTGAGATCTTGTCTCTAGAAAAAAACAAGCTGGATGTGGTAGCATGCACCGGTCATCCCAGCTACTCAGGAGGCTGAGGCAGGAGTATCACTGGTGCCCAGGAGGTTGAGGCTGTGGCAAGCCCTGATGGTGCCGTTGCACTTCAGCCTGGGTGATGGAGCAAGATAAAGAGAGGAGGAAAGAAAGAAGGAAGCAAAGAAAGAAAGAAGGAAGGAGGGAGGGAGGGAGGGACAAAAGAAAGAAGGGAAGAAAGGAAGGAAAGAAAGAGAGGAAGGAAGGAAGGAAGGAAGGAAGGAAGGAAGGAAGGAAGGAAGGAAGGAAGGAAGGAAGGCATTCAGCAAGATGTGAGTTGAGCAAGGAAGAGGCTTGTCAGCGGCGTCTGGGTGGAGCAAGCCTGCACCCGGGACTTCTCCAAGGGCAGTAGCAGGAGAGGACAAGCCTGGAGATTCATGCAATCCAGCAGAAACTGATCTTTCAGCACTGCCATGGGGAGTCCCAGCCATTGTATAGAAATGTGACTGGGAACACGGATCACTGCTGGGACAAGCTGTGCAAAGCCACCTGTGTGAGAAGCAGCTCAGCAGTTTACCAGTCTCTGCACTGAGCATGAATGTCCTCGGGACTTTGGACACACGCCTGAAACATTGGTTCCTTGTTCTGTCCACAGATATTGATTGTTTGTTTTGAGATGGAGTCTCACTATGTCGCCCAGGCTGGAGTGCAGTAGCACCATCCTGGCTCACCACAGTCTCACCTCCCAGGCCCAGGTGATCCTCCCTCCTCAGCCTCCTGACCATAGACATGCACCACCGAGCCTAGCCAATTTTTAGATTTTTTTGTAGAGATAGGGTCTCGCCATATTGCCCAGGCTGGTCTCGAACTCTTGGCTTTGAATGATCCTCCCACCTCAGCCTTCCAAAGTGTGGGATTACAGGCGTGAGCTCCTGGTCTCAAGGGGCCTAGTACATACGGAGAACATTGTTGGGCTCCGTGTCATCCTCTCAAAGTCCTGTTTCCATTTCTGGGTGTCTCTCCCCTGGCTTCTCTGTCTGCTTCCCACAGACAGCACCAGCATCTCTCTCTGGAAGACTGGAGCTGGGAATTCAGGGCCTCCCTGGGGACACTCAGCCAGTGACAGGTGTGGAAGGTGAAAGCCCAGCTCTCTGCCTGGGGTTGGGGCACAGTCTGAGGGGGACCACACCCTGCTGCTTTCAAGGTTGAGCGGGCTTGGGCTTGGCTCCTCTTCCCCCCACCCCTTGCCTAGCCCCTCCTTCCTTGCACCCCCAGCTGATTTCCCCTGACCACCCTAACAACTCCCTCGTCCACACGCCTGTCTCTGGAGAACCCAACCTGTGACAAAACACATGATGCGTCTCTCCTCGGAATCCGCCTGCCCCCGGGCAGGCTTTAAGCCCAGATACCCGCCTCATACACCATACAGCAGAAATCCCCCGGTTGCTCTCAGAGGCTGTGATGATAGCCACGCAGTCAGTTTATTTTTATTTACCTAGATGACAAATAACATGTCATTATTCCTCCTCTTCCCACGGCAGTCCCTTCCCCTATGTGCCTGGAGGTTGTCAAGGGGGTCACAGGGCGTTCCTCTTTAACAATTTTTAAAAAAATTTTAGAGTTGTGGAGTCCATGTGAGGAATTACTGCATAAGTAAGTTGGATGCCAGTGAAGTGTGGACTTCCAGCGCCCACCCCCCCATAGCGGACCTGGTCCCCAGTGTGTTGCTGTTGTGCCCTATCCCCCTCTCTGCCCTCCTACCCTAGCAGTGTCCAGCCTCTGATCCCTTCCTTGTGCTCATGTGACCAGTGACCAGGGCCCGCTGAGGAGGAACACCATGCAGTGTTCAGTTCCTTGTTTCTGCGACAGTTCACTTAGTGTTCTTCTTCATGCCTGCGTAGTATTCCATCATGTATATGTAACACATTTTCTCTATCCGGTCCACTTTCGATGGGCAGTAGGGATTGGTTCCATGTTTTTGCTTTTGTGAACAGTGCCGCAGTGAGCATGCGTGTGCCGGTGTGTTTTTGGTAGAGTGATGTATGTTCCTCTGAGTCTGTTCCCAGAAGTGAGGTTGCTGGAACGTATGGAAGCTCAGTGTTTAGTTCTTTGAGAAAACACCACTGCTTTCCACGAAGGCTGAACTAGCTCACATTCCCACCAACAAGGTGGAAGTGTCCCCTTTTCTCTGCAGCCGCACCAGCACCTGTTGCCTTTGATTTTAATGGTGGCCATCCTGACCATGTGAGGTGGTATCTCGTTATGGTTTTGATTTACATCTCTCTGCTGATTAATGAGGCTGAGCATCTTTGTTTGTTTGTTGACTGCTTGAATCAGACCCTACACTCTTTTTTTTTTTAAGTTTTCAAGCAAACTTTATTAGAGAAATAAGAGAAAAAGGAAGCTTCATGGCAGAAACACCTGCCATGGAAAAGTTTTTCAAAGAAAATCTGCCAGGGCTGGGTTCTTGTCTCACGCCCAGGAAGAATTAGGGACATGGACAGCCAGAAGGTGAGAAAGTAGGATTTATTGAGAAGACAGAAAAGCTCCCACAGTGAGAGGGGACCCTAGGGGGTTGCCCCAGACCCTACACTTGATATTGTAGCTCAGAAGCCTGCGTCATTGGCCCAGCTCCAAGCCCTTCTCATAGGCTGCCTTGAGTAGCCAAGTCCAGGAGAAAGTGACTCTTCTATCCTGGGTTACAGGTCACTAAGCTCTATCCAGCTGTATTAAAACCTCTCCTTAAAGCCCACACCATGTTGCCACCTGGCTGGGGTGATCATGCTTTCCTCCCCCAAACCCAAGGCCAGATCTCCTATTCCTCGTCCCTTCACGGTGCTCAGCACCTGGCCAGGGTCCACCCGTCAAACCCATCGTAATATGGGGAGTAGAAGTCAAACCAGGCAAACAGGGTTTGCACAAGACTCAGCCCATCCATGGGTCCAAGGACCTTTGCAGACTGAGCTGGAATTGACACGTGAAATGTCACTTCTCAGACCCCTTTCACTACCTGCCCCCAGGTACACCTGGGTTCTCTTTCTATTGCCATCGCTCTGTGATTGCTCTTCCTGCCTCTCTGGGAAATTGACTTCTCCTGAGCTTGAGGTGTTTAGTGCTTGAGATTTCTAGGGAAGGAAGACACTTGTGAGCGAAGTCCCCGTCCCAGTGCGCGTCCTTGAAAGTCTGTTCCAAGCACGGACTCCCTGGAGCCAGCGGGACACTGAGCCCTCCGTAGGACTGGAGAGGCTCCTTCTCCCTACTTGCCTCTTGAGGTGGGATTGGCATTCACAAAGGTGCTCTCTGGAACATGGGAGGCGTCCACACCCTGTGGAAGTCTGTTTTCCTGTAAAAGCCGCCCATGACCTGTGCTGACGTCCCCTCTCTTGGGTTTGGGCATCTTGGGTTTCCAGGCAAAGTGAGAATGTCTAAGTGCTGGGGGCCGCTCCCCATGTGGGACTCAGCTCATGTGGCCCCTGGTGAGTGTCTTCAGGGCCTTAAGGCTCAGCTGTGAACACGCCCTGGCTTAGAGCAAAAACACAGCAGGACCCCGGCTAATCTGACTACTCACTGCCCTTCCCAACTAAGGTTAACGGTAAGGCTCCATGGTAAGACTCCAGGGAGGCTCGAACTCCATTGTTCATGGAACGGCATTCATTAACACCACCCTGTCCAGGGACCTCAGCCATCAAGAACAGTCTCGACACCGAGACTCTGCTGAGATGTACAGGCTATGTTTAGCCATCCACCCTTTGTCCAAGAGTCTATAAAAACTGTGTTGTGGTCCCAGGGTAGTTGGTTTCTTCAGGCATCTGGAGACAATTTTGAGAGGAATGTTCTTGACACTCTTTAAAGATACAGATATTTGGGTTTTTGTTTTATTTATTTATTTATTTATTTAATTTTATTTTTTTTTGGGTACCAAATTTCTTTATTTGAAGGAATGGTACAAATCAAAGAACTGAAGTGGACATTTTGGTGCAACCTATAGAAAAGGCAAAGGAAACCCCAACATGCATGGACTGCCTTGGTGACCAGGAAAGTCACCCAGTAGCTATGGGGAAATCAGCCCAAGGTTTAGCTGTCATCACGCTCTCCCAGGGTGTGCTTGTCAAAGAGATATTCTGCCATGCCAGATTCGGGGGCTCCCGTCTTGTGCAAGTTGGGTACGTAGTCACCCAATTCTTTGATGGATTTCACCTGCTCATTCAGGTAATGTGTCTCAATGAAGTCACACGAGTGGGGGTCGTTTTTGTCAGTAGCCAGTTTGTGCAGTTCCAGTCGTGACTGGTTCACGTTTTTTCCCAAGCGTGATGCACACTCCATGGCATTCAGCCCGTTCTCCCAGCCATCACAGTCTGGTTTCTTGATGTCCTGAAGGAAGATGCGGCCACCGCGTTGGTTTTGCAGCTTCATCAGTTTCCCAGCATGCTCCCTCTCCTCATGAGATTGGTGAAGAAGTATTTGGCAAAGTTCTTCAAAGCCACATCATCGCGGTCAAAGTAGTATGACACGGACAGGTAGAAGTAGGAGGCGTAGAGCTCCAGGTTGATCTGGCGGTTGATGGCGGCCTCCGAGTCCTGGTGGTAGTTCTGGCGCACCTGCGAGGTGGACGCGGTCGTCATGGCGGCGGCTGAGGACGGGCAGGGACGCGGCGAGGCGGTGGCGGAGGTGGAGGGCTGGCTCGGAGCGGTCAGCCGGGGCGACAGACGAGCGCCGGGTTCCGTCCAAGCACTGTTGAAGCAGGAAGCCGCGGCGACTCTCGGCGCAGGACGTCTCTATTTATTTATTTTTTACCAGAGCTGATGGCTAGCCATGTTGCCCTGGCTGGTCTCGAACTCCTGGCCTCAAACAATCCTCCTGCCTTGGGCTCCCAAAGTGCTGGTTTGACAGGTGTGAGCCATGGCTACTCAGGAGGCTGAGGTGGGAGGATCGCCTGAGCCCAGAAGGTTGAGGCTGTGGTGAGCCATGAAGGTGCCACTGCTCTCCAGCCTGGGTGACAGAGTGAAACACTGTCTCAAATAAACAAACAAACTGTCTCAAATAAATAAACAAACAAATAAAAATTTAAAAAATAAGAAAGACTGAAAAAGTGAGCTGTTTTTATTTCTGAAGTGTAACTGATCTCACCTAAAATTTTACTAACTCTAATCAGGATATTACAGTTGAAATTTCTGTGTGTGTGTGTGTCCCCAACATCGTTATACTCTTCTATGTGACAAAACTTTTTATAAGCCCTGGAAGGCAACCCTCGGTAACAAAAGTTTACTGACTTTTACACAAGGGAAAACTGATGGTTTGGACGTCTTTACCAGTCCCCGTGAACATGACTGCCAGTTTATTCAATGACTTGTTTATGTTGAATACAGGGCTTATATCTGAATACAACAGAAATACTCTGTAAAAATGAGCACAACCATTTTAAACAACTTGAGGAACCTACTGATGATCTGTGCTATCACATCGGTCAAGCAGGCTTTCTGCCAAGTCTCTGGTTCATTCTGAACAGAGTCCAGGTATGACGTGTGTGCACGGCTTGGTGGAGATTCCTTACCTTTTGGCTACAAATTGCTCGAAGCTTCTGAAGGAATTGCTGTCCACCCTCTCACGACTTCCCAGCATTTGTCAAGGGTGGAGAAGACACCCTGGAGTGTGCCTGACCCAAGCTGTGCCAGGTGAGGTCCATTCCACACCACACCTTATAAATAAATGACTAGACCAGACTATCATAACCAAGACATGATTCCAGAAAAGGGTGTTCTTTCACATAGTAAACTGAATCAAATATTTCTCTCATCATAAACTCAGCATCATTGAATGTAGCAGGAGGAACTTCTGCAATGACCCAGAAGTGATATATATATATATTTTTTTGAGTTGGAGTCTCACTCCATTGCCCAGACTGGAGTGCAGTGGCCACTTCCGGC